AAAAAAATATTTTTATTTAATTAGTTTTAGTTTGCCTCTAATTCAATTAAAGTTTTTCTTGTCTTGTCAGTACCGTTGCCATACCTTACATCCATTGGAATAGAGATCTGAAGAGCAAAAATTTAAATTTATTCACAAAGCATATTTATATTCCCAAAAAATTAGTGATTTTAACTATTCTAAAGTAATTCATTATTTATTGATTCTAGAGTGTTTAGAACTTAATTGTCTGAAACCAAACATAGAAGCAATTTAACCTGGATTTTAAGCCCATTGGCTTTGCATCCTAAAATTCTTTTAAATTCATATTTTCTTTCGATGCCAAAATTGTCTCATTTTTAATTCTAAAACCGAGTTCGCCAAAAATAATCAAGAAAAGGCCTGAACCGGAAGAGGACAACTGCGGAAGCGAAAATTGCCGCGGGCTGGGATGCACAAATAAAACCGAAAAATGCAATCGGAATCTGGGCGCAGACACGCTAATCAAATTAAGCGCAATATTTGGTTTTCATATTCCAGATTCCGAGGAAGGAGATTGGATGAAATGCAACTGGCGACTGGCCGCGGGCATTAATTACACTTAAATGTTGACCACATGCCAGGATTTGACAGAGAGACAAAGTCAATAACTTGGCCAAGTGCAACCCCAGCCCGTTCCACTCGGCCCAAAACCACTTGGCTTTGTCCAATTTCCCTTGAGGCTGCCAACGGCGGTTGCATTTTTTGACAAATTCTCTTGACACGCATGCAGTGTCAACAAGGCGTGGCCAAAAAAGGGGCGAGGGACTGCGATTAAATCATTAAATTCATACGCTCCACGGGTTGCACTTTTCTCATTTCGCACTGGCGCTTTGTTCGCGAATTCACTGAAAAAAACTTTAAAATGTATTTTAAAATATGAAATTATAAGCTTTTTAATGTTAGCTATGTGATTCAAAAACGTACGTGGAATGCCAAAAAAATAATTTAGTATACAAATATACTAAAAAGGTAAAACAGGCAAGTTAGAAACCAAGGATTAAACACAAAGTTTATTTTCAAAGATTGCATTTTCACTATAAACTTATGGAACATTATAAAACCACATTATACGTATATATACTTATGTAACTAATTTATAAAACCCAAAAATACATTTTCATTTTTTAACAAATCTTTTTTTCCTGTTTGGTCATATTCCATGTGAGCTTGACCACCACCCTAGGAGATTGTCACTTGCTGATTATTCGGTTTCCGTTTTCATTAAAATGCACACATCCCTTTTTCTACTGCATCAATGGTTGCATTGGTTTTTTGCCCTTTTGAATACAACCTCTGGTTTGGGTAAATGCTTTTGGGGCATTTTTTAATTAAACGACATGCAGCGGAGTTTGGATTTTAATGTCACCACCTCGCGCTGTGGGCGGCGGTGCAACAGCGCCTTTGGTGGCACGTGCAACATGACAAATATTTTAGGCACACAATTGCAGTCCATCAGTGGCAGTTGGGGTCACCAAAGAGCTGACCAACTGATGACTAATTCCTCCTAAGCTCGATTCGTTTCCAGATCCAGTTAACGCGATTAAACACCTACAAGTTACTTTTGTTGCATATTGGTCATAAAAGCTATTTACATTTCTTTTAAGTTCAGATTATTTCTTTAAGAATGCTATTGAGAACCTTTTATAGTGATCCCTGGGGATTAAACCCTTTTCATTCAGTTCTCTCCTTCAATTTTCTCAGAAGGTGGTCGCTAATCGAAAGTGTTTCTGCTTTGGTAATTAATAGTTTTCTAACAGCAGAAACTTTCAAACACTTTGAAATGTTCGAAACTATATGCAAATTTGCCTTCAAGTTCAGTTCCTTTTCTTGGCTGATTTTCTTAGGCAGGCAAATTGAATTTACCTTGGGTCCTCTGAAAGGTTTTCCATTCCCACAACTTCCATTAACCCCTGTGAGTCTCGTGGGGCCTTTGACGCCTCGTGTGTGAAGCATAATTACAGGGACTAGCCAAGTTCTTCAATTAAAATTTATTTGGTTTTCGTGGAAATGGCTTTTTGGAAGGGTGTGAGTAACTTTTAGTTTTGATGTCGAGGGAAGTTTTGGACGCGCTTCGATGCGGTTTGTGTGAGATTTTTAATCCTTTGTGCCACTGACAAGCCAATTAATGATGATTTGTGGTCACTTTGTGTAAGTCACAATTAAAATAGTCAGAAATTTAATCACAAAATAACTTTTCCACATTTTTCCGAGCAGTGGAGTAATATGACAAAAATGATTAACTACAAATATGTACATATAAGCAATTTTTAAACGGGAACACCAAACAAATTTGCATTAACAATTTGTGCTTTTATAAAAGTATTGCCATAAATTCCTGATTGGAATTTGTAAGCGTTAGAAAGGTGCTTTATTAAATGTCTAAATTTGTAATTGTAATCTTTACACTTTCTTTAACCTTTAAAATTTCATCGATCAGGTTTCAATAGTTCAAGATATGAGATTTCTTTATTAATTTTTATATTTTAATTTTTAAAGAAAGAAAAGCATTTACAAGTTTACATATAACGAGTCAGTTTGAAAATGTTTTGAACAAGCTCACTTGAGTTCTTCACAGCAAAAAAAAAAAAAGATGTTGGCCGTATCGAACACACTCATATTGTAAAGTATCCAACCAAAAAAAGGAGAAAAAGCCATGACAGTCATAATGATGACACACTTACCACATAAACCGCACGCACCACACACAACCACCACCGGATCCCACTGAGAGTGGTGCAAACCATCCACAGAGTGGTGGGGTAAAATAGCCGTAGAACCAGAAAAACTCCCGAAAGGGTTGCCAACTGGAAAAGCCCTTCGCAGCTCCAGAATTGCCACTAAAATGCACGCTAATGAGTTTCAATTACGGCCAACTGACAAGATGGGACGCCTGAAACAGTTTTTATTTTTATTGACACGGCATTTGTGCCCCGCATCCTCATTTTCCCTGCTGTTTTCGGTGTCGTCGCTTCTGTTGTCAATTTGCGTAAAATTTTTGTCCTTTTTTTGAGTGTTTGTTTGTCGCCACTTTGATTGAAACTAAACGACGAGCTGAGCTGAGCTTCTGCGGAAGGTGTGGAAGTGGCAAAAATAAAGCGGGTGGTTGGGGTTGAAGTGCTTGATTTTAATTAAATTCCCATTCCCGCGAAATGCGACACAAACAGCTGAGGCCGCTCCAGTAAACCTCATCGCCCTTTCGTCCTGTGGCATTTCGATGGCCTTCTCTCTGCATCTGTTCGTCACTTGTCATTCTAATTTCGGTTGCACTTTAAAAGAAAGGTATTCTGGCTATTAACTTGAATCGATGTTGAGGCTCTTATAAATATAAATAAGGAAAATAGTATCATATTAAATTATTAAATCAATATAAAATATATGTATATAAGAATCTAAAATTGTGCACACAAATTTCAATTACATTCTTTTTATTGGTTTAATATTCATTTTATTCATTTGTAGTCTTTTGGTGTCTTAATTGTATTTCTTTAAGTAAAAATAATATCAATCAAAAGTCAGTATGAAATGAAACGTTTTTAATTATTTTAACAACATATAGAGCACTTCTGAAACCGGTGTAAAAAAGTATCCACTAGCATTCCTTGTTTTTTAAAATCGTAAACTTTTATGATTACATGAACGCCAGTCCGTTTGTTGTTATTTGTGTTGCTGCTCCTGGCATCCTGGCATTCTGGTGTCGTCGTTTACTTTGTGGCCTGGAGTCGGTGTTGCCATTGGCACATGTTACAGGACTCATCTAAATGGTTATGGCGCCGTGCATTTTAAATAATTAATGGCCGAGCTGAGAGCGAGTGAAGTACAAGTGCATTGCACACAAACTCAAAACAGGAAAACAGAAGTTGCCAACGAGGCGGGAGGTTCCACAAATGTAATAAAAATGTTGGACCAAAACTTTGACCAAGAACCTGAAAACGAAGCAGAAGTTTTCCGACTTGGGCCAAAAATCGACTCGACTGCATTTCAATTCCCAAACGATTATAAACTACCGACCGTTTGCAAATTTAATTTACAACTGCACAAAGTGAACAAACCGCAACAAGAGCTCGAAGCAAAGTTTTTACTTTGTTAAAGTCGGAGGGCAGACTTTTATTTGCCACCTACACAACAACTTTTGCTGGAGGGTCAGCTGGCAGCTGGAGCTCCTGGAATTAGCTGCTAACTGGGAAATATATAAGCACTTAAAGAAAAACAGGAACAATGTAATATTGGAAATAAAAAAGGTATTCATTAGAACAGTTCGTTTTTCTAACAATAATGTTTTCCCTTGGAAATATTGGAAAGTAATACTTCATTACCCTTTGTTAAATAAACAAATTTGTATGTTAGTAAAGTAATATTTTAAAAGATTTTAAATTCCTCAAGATACTTTTCGATTTATTATCCTTTTTGTAAATGTAATCTACTATTGTAAATAACAAGCACACATATATTATTTAATTCAATATTTTTTCTTGGTGTGCGGTTTAAGGGAAAAGTTCTCCTGAAACAGGAAATTATGTTTATTATTACTTTGGCACACACAATTTGGACTCCAAGTGGCCAAATGCTGCTCCCCGAACAATATGCAAATGTGCAGCAGCCAAAGGAGCCTCAAAAGACTCCGGAAAGGAGTGCACCATTCCCATTCTCACCCGATGGCAAAACTTCAAATTTAAATTAATAAGACAGGAGCCAGGATCGCCCAGCTAGATGAGCTTCGTTAGCTTCGTTAGCCTTGTGGAGCATCATCATCAGCGTCCTCGTCCTCAGAGTGCTCACTAAATTGCACTTTAATTGCACTTTAGGCGAGAGCCAGTCGATGAGAAAAACTCAAAACTTTTACTCGCCTTTCTGCCAAAATTTTCGGCCATTGTCTGAATGGGGTGCAGACGCGAAATTGGTAATCATCATAAATAAGTGATTCAAATTAATTAAATTCCGTTTTGCGACAAAAGAGTTTGTCAAGAGAGAGGTAATCAAAGTGTTGGTAAAGAGCTCTGACTTTTATTTTTAGCAACAAGGTGGTATCTTAATATTTGTATTGAAAACCTGTTTAAACTTTATCAAACATAATCTCGTTTGTACATTCATAAGCGTTAATAAATCCTCCATCAATTTTTTAATAAAATCCTCGTTATATGTTATATGGTCAACTAAGTTGCACTTGGTCCAATTCAAGTTTGGTCTCCAAGATTGGCACTTGTCTACCATTGTGTTTAATTCCCTTAAGCCATTTGATGTAGTCCTCTGGAATACCGGTTTCCTTGGCTCCCTTCACCAAAACTTTGAGGTACGTTTGTGACGGCTGACGATCCAGGGGAATGTCTTCCTTTCCACCAACTGAGTGTAAATCTGTTTGGGGCTGATTTGCGAGGTGGTAGGCTCGGCAGGTGATACTGGTATCGGTAGTCAACGAGTGAACGGGCACGCTAATCGGAATGTATACGCCATCGGGCACACTTTCTTGACTAGGAAACATTCAAATATATGTTATTAATAAGTTTTCAAAAATGCAGATTGAGGCTTACTCATCCAGATCCTTCAGGTTGCACATGTCAATTTCCCAAATGGTTCCAAAAACGTGAGATCCTAGAGTGGGCACGATTGTGGCGGGAGCCCCCAACCAGTTTTTTGATCCAGTGTGAAAGTCCAGGCGGAAGTTCTATGGACAAATTTACGTAAATTAAACTTATAAAACCAATAATTATAGTTGACAATTTAATTTAAATTAATTTAAAGCTTACCTCCAACTTTCCAGCTCCAATCCTTCTTGCCGTGGGATTTTGTATGTGAATTCGGCTGGCAAGCATGTTGCTACCGAAACCAAAATAAAAGAATTTGCTTGCCATACTTGAAGGATCGTTGGTCCTGAAAGATTAAACTCCCTTTCAATTGGAATTTCTATTTTTGTTTATATATCAACAGGTAAAGACAATAGTAGTTTATGATATAACCTTAAAGTTTTGCAAGCCCGGAATGTCATTACTACAACAATGGATGTAAAACTGTGAACTGCTTAAAGCAGTATGAAAAGCAGTGCAGTCTGCGGTGCATGTCTTGACTATGACTGTTCTTATTAGGATTTAAATAAATTGCTCAATATTGCGTAAGCTAAAATGAAGCTTTCCAAAATAAATACATCTAGATTTACCATTTGTCATTTCACAATACCTATTTTCCTTTAATTTTATTTTTACTCTGTTATCACAAATTCAAACGGTCAGCTGTTGAAAAGCTCTTTGTTGTTATCAGCTTTTGAGCTTTTTGGTAGTAAATCAAATCAGCTGTACCAGCATATGATTTGCGAACGTTTTTATCAAAACAACAATTACCCATTGCATTAATTTACTATAAATCGAAGATATATGACTTAGGCACAGATGTCCAATAGCGCAACATTGCTTTAACTCACTTTTTTGATTTCCAAAATATGAAAAACACGTCAAATAAAACTAACAGAAATTTTGTTTACTCGGTTCGGACAGACAGATGGTAGTGAACTGACATTGACAATGATAACATTTTTATCGATAGCATGGTATTTAAGTAAAAAAGTAATGAATTTAATGTTAATGTAATTTTTGCTCTACTTCTCGTTGTTTATTAATTTGAATTAATTATTTCAACCCAAAAGAGAAAGTAACCTAATTTTCAGTAAAAAAAATCGAATGAAAAAGAACAAAAAGCTTTTGAATTTTCATTATCAATCACTAAAAGCTAGGACTCGAACCATCTTAGCAACTTACACTTAGCCCTGACTGTAGTATAAGTGTAGTATAAGTAACAGTTTACGGTCATGAGGATCGCACCACCATGAGGATCGCCTGGTAAGCAGATTTGGCAGTACTGTCGAATGAATTTATTGCCGACCTTACCAGCCTGTCAAAGAGTGTATGCACTTGAAAATGTTTCTGAAAACCGTACTAAAATGTTATACTTGCACTATTGTACGGCAAATAAAAAAATTATTATTAAACAACGTTGTTGTTTTTAATCATACAAGCATGAATTTTGGAATATATAGCTTAACGGACTGTTGAGTTTTGATTAAATTTCATAAAAATCGAACGCCCATATCATATACATATGTATATATACGTATGTACGTCACTATGTCATAGGTACAGCATGAGAAGTGATAGAAAATTAATAAAAAAAAATCATCATAGCCTCGATGTTGTCAAGCCCTTATGCATTTTGCTCGACGTTTGGCAATTCGTTACGATAAAAGGTTATAAATAAAATTATTACAAGCATAATATTAAATTAGCTACTATTTAAAATTACGGGTGAATATGAGTAGCAGGTAATTTATTAGATGTATTTGCTGCTTAAAGTTCGATGTTTTGCAGCTCCAGTTTCTCCTCTAGCTTGGTGGCCACGTGCCCATTGTGCTTGATGCCTTTCAATCTCCGAACATATTCCTCTGGAACGGAGCTCTCAATGGCGCCCTTTACGAGGCACTGGAGATATGTTTTCGAGGGCTGACGGGATGCAGGAACAGAGTCCATCGAAAGCTCGTAGAGATTGGTCTCCGGCTGCTTGGTTAGCAGATAAGCACGGGCAGGAGTTTGTTTAGACTCAGTACGGAGGGTAACGTAGACAGTTCTGGATTCATAAATGCCCTCATGAACGCCTTCTTGGCTAAAAAAATTAAAAGACAGGTGAAGAGCATATACTTCAAGAATCTCAAAAGATATATAGATGAAATCTTAAAGAAAACAGTAATTTGAAACGGTAAGATTATGGCTATTCAAATATAAATTTTAATATTTGTAGGCACTTTTATCGGCTTCAAATATATTTATAAATAATATAGACTGAACTTGTAAGATCTTTGCATATACTTACTTGTCTATATCTGGCAGATTGCTGAGATCGATTTCCCAGAGCGTGCCCCACACATGATCCCCCAAAGTGGGCACAATGGTGGCCACTGCACCTCCCCAACGACCCGACTCGAAAGCAAAGTCCAACCGATAATCGGGGAGGAGGGCGGGTCCTATCTTCACAGCGGTTGGGTTCTGGATGTGGATCCTGTCGGCTAGCATGTTGCTCCCGAAGCCGAAGTAGAGGAACTTGTTTCCCCGTACTTCAGGTAGATTCAAGGAGGCATTGAAATCTCCAATGCTGTTCCCTTGAGTTCTTGAAAGAGCCACCAACAGGCAGAAGATGACACCAGTGAGACAGTCGCGATACATTTTTCAAATCGGAACTTTCAAACGATTTGGACTGTCTGAGCGTGGAACGGCTTCTGAAAGATTAAATTATATTTTTCAGGTTTGTGAGTCTAGCTTTCTCTGATTTGGTTGGGGTAGATTTATTCAGATAAGCCCCTTGTGCTTTATTTACAAAATAACTGCACATAAATGTTTATTTTTCAGGAATATCAGTTCTAAGAATTTCCAAAATGTATTGGAGTGAATTGATCCAGACAACCTCTCAGTGTTGTATTTCTTGAGTCAAAACTATTTTACCAATTGCACAAATTTTGGAAATTATAATTATAATTCATAAATACGCAGCAAAATAAGTTTTAAAAAGAGGTCAATTAAGATTGTCCATCTGAGTAAAGAGTATCTGCTAGTCTGGCACTCGACTATAGCCATTCCACTTGTTTATTGTTATCAGAATTAATGAAAAGATTTTTGTATATTTGCTCTTAAGAAAAGCACAAAGAGTACATAAACTATTGTTCGAAGAGACTTTTGAATTTACGCTCTTAGCAGAAAGACAGAGTATTCAAATTTTTGTTTGCCAGTCAACAATCACTTGCCCAAGTATTTTAATTTGTCTATTGTATTAAATCAGGTTAAGGTGGTTTCGAAAATTGTAATGCAGCTATTTTGTAATGCTCAGAATTTGTACCTTGAAGAAAATATTTTCGGTTAGAAATTAGCAAAGTTGTTAATTAGATACTTGGCACTCTACTAGGAATTTGATTACATATTCAAGATGAACGAAAAGCAACTTTAGTAAAGTTTCATCAATATAGCTTTAAAGCTGTGAGACTAATTTACATAGAAATAGTCAGTCGGACACAGACGTACGCATCTAGTTCTATTCAAATTGTGATGCTGATCAAGAACATATACACTTTATAGGGTCTGAAGTGTCTCCTGACTGACTGAAGAATATGTAAGTTCAGTGCATAATATAAGTAAAAAAAATTCGGGCCACGAGGATCCCACCACTTGCCTTGTAATTGTCATTATACTACCGAGTGAATTAACTGCCGGCCTTACCAAGACGTCGAGGAGAGCTTTCTGGAAGCCATATCAAACTAATTTAAGTGTTGTTGACTTTATTCTATAAGCATGCTGTTCCAGAAAATAAAATTTTAAGCCAAACAACGTAGAAATTTATAACCGTGAAAACCCAGATGATTTCTTACTATTAAGAACAGCATTAAAGGATGTAGCAAGTGCATCATTGTCCGGAAATAGTTTGATGAACTAGACAACTTTTTGAAGAGGAGATTACATAGTTTTCACTCTCTGGTCATATTTTAATTTCAGTCAGAAGTTTGCAACGCAGTGAAGGAGGCACCTTAGACCCCATAAAGTATATATATTCTTGATCAGCATCACCATCTGAGTCGAAATATGTATGTACGTCTGTCCGTCGGTCCGTCTGTCCGTCTGTCTGTTTCTATGTAAACTAGTCTCTCAGTTTTAAAGCTATCTTGCTGAAACTTTCCCAAAAGGTGTATAGTTATTGCACGCAGTATATAAGTCAGAACGTGCCGGATCGGCCGACTATATCGGATAGCTCCAATACAAGAGAATGAAATAAAAAAAATCTTACGCCGTTATTTTTTATCAGATCGACTTGATTTCTTCCATATGGCATTTTCTAACTACTATTGAATTTCGGTTTAAATTTTATCAAAATCAGACAACTCTATCATATAGCTGCCATAGGAGAGATCGAAACATATATATAGAATTAATGGAAATAAATTTATAAATTCGTTGTTTTTTATCCCACGAGCATGATTTTTTGAATTTCAAGTTTTTTAACAACTCTGATATTGAGAAAAAAGTTTCATAAAAATCGGACAACTATATCTTATAGCTGCCATAGGAAAGATCGAAAAATCTTTATAGAAATAACGGAAATAAAATTATAACATCGTTGTTTTTCATCAGATAAGAATGATTTTTGGATAATAATGTTTTCTAACGACTCTTGAATTAGGAATTTTGCATTTTGTTCGACATATTTGATGACTGCAAGGGTATATAAGCTTCGGAATGCCGAAGCTAGCTTCCTTTCTTGTTTTTCAAAATTCCTTGAAATAAAATAAGTTTTTATCTTTAAATAACAATTTAACTTAATAACTGAAAACTTACACTATCTGTCAAAGTAGTTTTTAAAAACAATTTCAAGCGATCTGTTTGATGTTTGATATTTTATGATGTAACTTAACATAACATAACATATTTTAATTTATATTTATGAAATAAATAATTATTTGGACCGCAGCTCTGGCTTTACAAATTGTTTTAAATACTAGTCTTTTGGGTTGCAATTAACTAGTTTCCATTATGTCTGGAAAATGGTTGCTATGCATGATAGCAACATTTTTGTTGTTGTGATGGTGTTGCTAGGAAGACCAACATATTTGCTTTCAATTAGCAAGAAAATTATTATCTAGAAAATGGGATCAATGTCTGTCTGCACTCTTTTGTTCTTATAATCAAGGGATTTGGTTATAAGTTTTGCTGATATGAAAACATTAAACCCCTTTGTATTGATTGTTGTTAATTTTAAAGTGAAGTTTTTAAGCCTTTTGGTCAAAGGTTCTTTCCATCTTTTACAAATGGTATAAAGCACTTTTCAATTATTTTACTTACCAGACTATACTATTAGTATAAATTGGAATCAGCTTCGATTAATTGATTCAAATAAAGGTCTGAGTAATAGGTAATTTATTTGATGGCATACTAAATAACTAGTTATTCGATATGCCGCAGTTTCAGTTTCTTTTCCAGTTTTTTGACCACGCGACCATTGTGCTTGATGCCCATCAATTTCCGAACATATTCCTCTGGAACGGAGCTCTGAATAGCGCCCTTCACGAGACATTTTAAATAAGTATGGGAGGGTTGACGGGATGCAGGAATAGAGTCCTTTGAAAATTCGTATAGATTGGTCTCCGGTTGATCGACTAGTAGATAAGCACGGGCAGGAGTTTGTTTGGACTCATTACGCACTTTAACGTATACCGTTTGGGGCTCATAAATGCCCATGTTAACGCCTTCTTGTCTATATAAAATAACATAGGGGTTAAAAGCATAAATATTATCATTCTAATAAATTTCACAAAGTGGTCGAAAATCTTAATTTCAACAATTTACTTAAAGACATGAATAGAATTTGGTTAAAAGCTGAATAGTATTTAAGGAGCTACCCAGTGCAAGAAGTCTAAAATTAATTTTGTTAACGTATAATACCCCTAAAAGTATTGGTATTTTAATGGATACATATATCTATATCTATATCTTTATATCTATACTCCCCTGAATGCGTATACTCACTTGTCTATATCCGGCAGATTGCTGATATCGATTTCCCAGAGCGTGCCCCACACATGATCTCCCAAAGTGGGCACAATGGTGGCCACCGCACCTTTCCAACGAGCCGAATGGCGAGCAAAGTCCAACCGATAGTCGGGAAGCAGGGCGGGCCCAATCTTCACAGCCGTTGGGTTCTTGATGTGGATCCTGTCGGCTAGCATGTTGCTCCCGAAGCCGAAGTAGAGGAACTTGTTTCCCCGCACTTCTGGCAGATCCAAGGAGAAGTTCGAATCCTCGCTGCTGATTTCTTCAGCTTTGAAAAGATTTACCAACAGGCAGAAGACGACACCGATGAGGCAGTTGCAATACATTTATAAAAAGGGATTTTTTAGCGATTGGCTGAGCGTGGAACTGCTTTTGATCTCCGTTTTGTTGGATGACGAGCTCCCAATGAGATGCCAACTTTATAATGCCCCTCTTATAGAAGTTCGCTTCCCTATTGGCAAAAAACTCGGAGACCCAATTTTCACAGGACTCTCTTGTGGCCAACTTCAACTACCAATGGACAGAAACAGGTGGTAATCACTTGGTGCGAGATCCGGGCTATACGGTGGATGCAAAAGAACCTCCCATCCGAGCTCCCGGAGCTTCTGTCGCGTCACCAAAGATGTGTGTGGCCTGGCATCATTCTGATGGAAGTTGTTGGCAGTGCTGGTCCGAATTGATCGTTTGGCCATAGGGGAGCAGCTCATAGTAGATGATTCCCTGCCAATCCCACCAAACACACAGAACCTTCCTGGCCGTCAATCCAGGCTTGGCCAACGTCTGGGCAGCTTCACCGCTTTTCGACAACGACCGTATGCGCTTCACGTTGTCGTAAGTGACCCACTTTTCATCGCCAGTTACCATCCGCTTCAAAAACGGGTCGATTTTGTTGCGATATAGAAGCGATTCGCATGCATCCATACGATCAATAATGTTTCTTTTTGAAACCAAGCTTCAAATGGTTTATAACGGTTTGATGACTCTTGCCCAGCTCTTGGCCGCTGCTACGGCTGCGACTATGCCGGTCTCTTTCGATCGATTCAGCGATTTTATTGCAATTTTCGACGTTGCGCATCCTCGACCACTCTGCACCAGAACGAAAACTTTGAAGCTATCGTTGCAGTGGAAATGGAAACTGTATTGGGTACATAAACTGCATACATTTTTATTGTTGTAAATATTTCAGTTGTACATAGATGTATTAGTAAATTGTGGATCCCAACGGAGCACAAACAGAAAGGCGTAGTTCCCAAAAGGGAAATCACTCTTAGCAGAGATAATCAGAGCAAATCTGTGTTATAAAAAGGAGCTTCCCTAGCTTCAACAGTCTAGTCTAAAGTTAAGATTCCAACAATCAAGATGAAACTGTTGCCAGGCAGTTCTGAAGCAACAAAAAGCAGTAGGTAATTGTCTATATTATTAAACAAAATCTACGAAAAATCTACCCACTTAAAGATAATTCTAAGAGCTTTAAAATAAGGTGGTTTACAGTACTCCATTTAAATAACAACAGAACAAAGTCCGTTTTTCCAGAAACATGTAGATTGTTCGCTAACCAAAATCACAACTTATCAAACCCGTTTTTAAGTGGCTATTGCCCTTCTCCACCAGCAGATTGATCAGCAAGTCGTACAAGTAGCCATCGAGCTCGTCGCCGGCGACGGCATAGACTTTGTCGTTCCATTCACCCTCAAGGATTGCCATCTCATCAATAGAAAATACGTCATTATACTCGCCCTCTTGAGCTTCGCCTCGCAGGAAGGAGCAGGTGAAGGAAAGCGTCGAGTTTCCCTTGATGATGTCGACTTCGAACTGGGGCTTGCTCCTCATCTCGCCCAGTTCCGGCTTGTCGGCATTCGGATTGATTTCGGGCTCGGGGCACTCCACGGAGTGGTTCACATTAAAGCTGACTACCACCTCCTTCTTGTCTGTCTGCTTGGTAAGCTCCACATCGGCGCCGGTCAGCTTCACCCATCGAGTGTGCTGGGAATCGACTTGCCCTTCTGTACCTTGCGCTCGGCCACGATCTCGTCGGTAAGGAACTCCACCAGCTCTCGCTCGCATTTGGTGTGCACATTGCAGCCGCACGTGCAATTTATGCTGGGCTTCTGGAGGTTCAGAACGGTTACATGATCGGATCCTCCAGCGGCCACCGGCTTTTTGGTCATGTGCCACAAGCTGCGGGTGAAGTAGCGCTTGCCCAAGGAACCCGCACTGGAGCTGGCCTGGCTGGCCAATCTCATGGTGGCTATTCTCAGGCTGTACATCTTGTTATATAACCGTGATTTGGTCTTTAACTTTCATTAAACAGAGAAAAATGTACAACACGCCGAATGTGTAATGTCCAATGTGAGCAGCATGGCAATTGGCAGCATGAGATGCATTTTTGCCTATATCGTAGTAGTACTGTAAAATATGCTGTATTTTTTCTTTATTATTCTCCATAGCGCGTGATAAGAGCTTTTCAAAAAGCTCTAGCGTGAACCGATGGGACGAATAAAACTAGAGCTACGCACTTGCAAAGAAACCTAGCTTAAATACCGCAAGACAAGCATAATTTTTGGAATAAAGAGTTTTCTAACTGCTCTTAAATTGCATATTAAATTTCATCAAAATCGGAGAACTATATCATATAGCTGCAATACGAACAAAAGTCGAAAATATAGAGAATTAAAAGAAAAATCGTCATAGTATCAATGTTGTTTAGCCCTTATGCATTTTGATCGACATATGTGATGACTGCAAGGGTATATAAGCTTCGGGTTGCCGAAGCTAGCTTCCTTTCTTGTTTTTCCATAATTTATACATATCTTTTTTGATCTTTTCTATTGCTACTATATGATAGAGTTATCCGATTTTGATAAAATTTAATCCGAAATTCAATAGTAGTTAGAAAACGCCATCTGGAAGAAATCAAGTCGATCTGATCAAAAACAACTGTCTCAGAATTTTTTATTTTATTCTTTCGTATAGGAGCTATCCGATATAGTCGGCCGATCCGTCCCGTTCCGACTTATATACTGCGTGCAAAACCTACACAACTTGTGGGAAAGTTTCAGCAAGATAGCTTTACAACTGAGAGACTAGTTTACATAGAAACAGACAGGAGGACAAACGGACAGACGTACAGACGTATTTGGATTCTGATCGTGATGCTGATCAAGAATATATATATAATACTTTATGGGGTCTGAGATGTCTACCTGCGTTGCAAGCTTCTGACTGAAATTATAATACCCTTTTGATCTGCAAGGGTATAAAAAACGGACGACTATATTATACAGCTTTCATATCGGTGAATCTTCATAACCTAGATGTTGTTTAGCTTTTATGCAATTTGCTTGACATCTCTGATGACTGAAAGGCTAAAAGCTCGACTCTTGTCTTCAGAACGTCTTGTTCTTTGATAACGTGAACAAAATAACGGCACTTTTCAGGCTATATGTATTTTCTGGGTATTCTTAAAATGCATTGAAGAACCAATGCTTTGCCTCAGCGGTTTAAAGCAATAAAATTGTTAATTTTAAATCATATAATACGGTTATTAATAAGCTGACTCCAGAAATTCTCATTAACAAATACATCTAACCTTAACATAATCACACTAACTTAAGGCTGGTAAATGAGCCAATAGATTTTAAGGTAGAACAGCAGACGAGTGCATATCAACTTCCCTTAAATTTGAACCAAAGTGACTAAGTAAACATGTGAGGAGTATTACAGCTAATGTGGCCTTTTCCGGAATTCGACACACAAATTCAAATAGAAATGCAATTTAAATGGGAGGGAATACTAAAGAGATCGGAAAAGGTACGCGGAGAAGTGCTCGTTTTCTTAAACTTCACATTGGCATCAAGTATACGCCAAGTGAGCCGTTGAAACAGAGAAGATCAGCGGTGAAAGTAAAACTAGAGGAAAGAGTTTACCTTAATGATTAGCTATTGAAGTTCTCAAAATCCTTGAAAGCCAACCGTTAAACCGTAATATCATTGGTTTAATCCGAAACCTACTTGCACTTAAGTCTGTAAGTATAAAAGTCTGCTCTGTCACACTGGCTGTCCAACGATAATTTGATAACGATCTACGATGAACGTCTTCCAAGGCTGTGTGCTCTTTTTCCTTGGATTCTTCCTCCGCAACGTGGAGGCTGCTCCGAACAGCCTCGTCGTAGGCAAGCCCCCATATAAGAGGAGTTAGATGCGTGAAACAAAAATCATATAAATAATAACAATAATACGCAGGTATTAAATACATTTTAGTACTCTTTGTTAATAAATAAATTCGCAAAAGCAATGGCCAGTTCTTTAATGTCTAGAAGTTTCGTAAATGCACAGTTTCCCCCTCTTTCCACTGATCGTTAATTAATTCACCCTTAACAGCAAGGCTTCCATGTCACTCGAAAGAACGAGAACAGGAGGGTGATTTATAACAATAATATTACTAATTTCAAATGATACTATACGGTTATTAATATGCTGACCTTTAACAAAAAACATCTAACCTTAACATATTCACACTGATTTAAGGCTGGCACTTACTCGAGATTTAATAACACCCAGTAAATGAGCCAATAGATTTTTAGGAAGAACAGCAGACGAGTGCATATCAACTTTCCTTCAATTTGAACCAAAGTGACTAAGTAAATATGTGAGGAGTATTACTGCAAATGTGCCTTTTCCGGAACTCTCTTAGCTCGCCAGTCAAATTAAAAAAGAAATGATATTAAATATGGGGGAATACTAAAGAGATCTGAAAAGGTACGGGGAGAAGTGCTCGTTTTCTTAAACTTCACATTTGCCGTCTAGTAGACGCCACGTGAGCCATTGAAACAGAGAAGATCAGAGGTAACAAGTGAAATTGGAGTAAAGAGTTTACTGAACCGATTAGCTATTGAAATTCTATGAATCCATGAAAGCCAACCGTTAAATCGTAATATCATTGGTTTAATCCGAATCCTATACTTGCACCCAAGTCTGTAAGTATAAAAGTCTGCTCTGTTGCACAGACCGGCTGTCGAACGATATTTGATAACGAAATACGATGAACGTCTTCCAAGGCTGTGTGCTCTTTTTCCTTGGATTCTTCCTCCGCAACGTGGAGGCTGCTCCGAGGTCCCCCGTGGACTGCCCCGTGGGCTATTCGGACAGGGGACACGGTTGCGAAAAAAAGATTGGCTAAATTGAAAAATAGCGTTACCTTGCAAATGAAATATTGTTCATTAATAAACCGGAGAAAGCATTTTATTGTATTCATGATTTGTCTATTTGCTTACTTGCTATAATTATTTAATATATGTTTACGTCAAAAAATAACTGCACATTATTGTTTATTTTTCAGGCTTCTGTTCTGTTCTGGTAAGTCTTAAAATGCATTGAACGTATGCTTAGCCTCAGTGCCAGAAAAGCGGGAAATTTTTGTTCGTCAGACTTTTAAATTTTTGCTGATAGCAGAAGAACAGAGGATGTTTTTACTGTAGTCAGTTGAAGGTGCTTTTATAAATTATTAAGCCGCTTTTAATGGGTGTATACCATAATTATGACGAACAGGCGAATCTAGAATTAGTTTTAAAGCTAGAGACCTAATATATTTCTTGTGGGTAGGCTTAAAGACTTAGGTCTGATGAAAAATTCATATATACTATTTAAAAAATAATATTTATTTTATAACAAGAAGGGAAGCTAGCTTCGGCAAGCCGAAGCTTATATACCCTTGCAGTCATAAAATATTTCAAACAAAATACATAAAGGCAAAACAACATCGAACGATTTTTCTTTTAATTTTCCATATTTTCGACTATTGTTCATATGTCAGCTATATGATATACCTAGTTGTCCGATTTTGAAAAAATTTATTTCGTTATTCAAGAGTCGTTAGAAAACTCTATATTCCAAAAACATGCTCGTCTAATGAAAAACAACGATGTTATCATTTTATTTCCGTTAATACCACATAGAAAAACCAAAAGCACAACTGATCAAACCCGTTTTTAAGTGGCTATTGCCCTTCTCCTCCAGCAGATTGATCAGCAAGTCGTACAAGTAGCCCTCAAGGATTGCCATCTTATCAATAGAAAATACGTCATTATACTCGCCCTCTTGAGCTTCGCCTCGCAGGAAGGAGCAGGTGTAGGAAAGCGTCGACTTTCCCTTGATGATGTCGACTTCGAACTGGGGCTTGCTCCTCATCTCGCCCAGTTCCGGCTTGTCGGCATTCGGATTGATTTCGGGCTCCTCCTCGCTGTCCACGGAGTGGTTCACATTAAAGCTGACTACCACCTCCTTCTTGTCTGTCTGCTTGGTAAGCTCCACATCGGCGCCGGTCAGCTTCACCCATCGAGTGTGCTGGGAATCGACTTGCCCTTCTGTACCTTGCGCTCGGCCACGATCTCGTCGGTAAGGAACTCCACCAGCTCTCGCTCGCATTTGGTGTGCACATTGCAGCCGCACGTGCAATTTATGCTGGGCTTCTGGAGGCTCAGAACGGTTACGTGATCGGATCCTCCGGCGGCCACCGGCTTTTTGGTCATGTGCCACAAGCTGCGGGTGAAGTAGCGCTTGCCCAAGGAACCCGCACTGGAGCTGGCCTGGCTGGCCAATCTCATGGTGGCTATTCTCAGGCTGTACATCTTGTTATATAACCGTGATTTGGTCTTTAACTTTCATTAAACAGAGAAAAATGTGCAACACGCCGAATGTGTAATGTCCAATGTGAGCAGCATGGCAATTGGCATTTTTCCCTATATCGTAGTAGTACTGTAAAATATGCTGTATTTTTTCTTTATTATTCTCCATAGCGCGTGAAAAGAGCTTTTCAAAAAGCTCTAGCGTGAACCGATGGGACGAATAAAACTAGAGCTACGCACTTGCAAAGACACCTGCGGAAATACCGCAAGACAAGCATAATTTTTGGAATATACAGTTTTCTAACTGCTCTTAAATTGCATATTAAATTTCATCAAAATCGGAGAACTATATCATATAGCTGCAATACGAACAAAAGTCGAAAATATAGAGAATTAAAAATATATATATATATAATATATATTCTTGATCAGCATCACCATCTGAATCGAAATATGTATGTACGTCTGTCCGTCTGTCCGTCTGTCCGTCTGTCCGTCTGTCTGTCTGCCTGTCTGTCTGTCTGTCCGTCTGTCCTGCTGTCGGTTTCTATGTAAACTAGTCTCTCAGTTTTAAAGCTATCTTGCTGAAACTTTCCCACAAGTTGTGTAGGTTTTGCACGCAGTATATAAGTCGGAACGGGACGG